AAATTCTACCGTATTTTGTAACGCAAGAAAACAAGACCTCTTAACTAAATTTCGATCGATTTACTTACTGTCCTACATATGTATATCAAATAGAAGCAAAATGTAATTACTTTCGTGTAGAATGTTGCAGTATTGTAAATTTTATATTCTTTTCAATTCTTGGGGCGTTGTTTTCGTTCCAAGAAACAATCCGAAGCGAGAGCAAGACTGAAAAATATATTCGGGAGCACGCGGAAGGCACATTGTTCGACCGGTGAATCGCGAAAAGCAGTTACGCCCGCCGCGCTGCGAGATGTTTGCAATTACTCTATTTCTGGCGCCGCGAAATGCGAAAACGCTGCTCGACACTTGAAAACATTAAAACGCTCTATACACGACAAACACTAGGTTCCTTCCTAACCAATTCCATTACAAGCTCTATAGGAGTGTTGTAACAATCGTCAGGTAGGAAATTAAAATAAACATGAACCGAGCTGGATCGTCAATATCTGAGAAACCAAAACGAGTGAAAAAAAAATGTTACACTCCTCCGTATACAAAACCGTGGGAACCGTGTCGAAAGAATGGCAGACGCGGTTGCAAAAAAACCCAAATTGCCGGAATGTAACAATCAGGAGCGCGACGCGTTAATTAATTTATAGCGAAACCAGTCGGTGAATGTGGATGGGAAACGCGCCGAACAAAGAGCCCTTCGGAACTAACGTAGACAAAACAAAAAGCCGTGGAAACAGACGGCTCGCGTGAAATTAGCTCGTACGCTCGTTTTTTTTTCTCTGAAACGAATATGACCAATACGGGAAAAGTCTGTCTTAAAACAGCCCGGAACAATCCATCAGCGACTCATTGTATGCATACACAGACCGAATAAAGCCAAGCTCGGATTTTCCGTCTCGTTCGAAAATCCTGTATCTATCAATACATACAAGCGAGGATCGAACGCAAAAAATATATAGGAAGAAAATACGACAGCGTTTTTATAGTGCTCTAGAAAATCTGAATGTCATTTCTATCGACCGGTTAACCCTTCCGTGTTGTTCTATCAGAAACACTATTGGAAGGATTATTAATGTACCTCGTGTATAATTTTCCTAGATTCATGCATGACATAATCGAACTGATTTGCCATACATTCATCAAGTTTCACTTGAAATAAACGGTAATCGAAATTTTGGGAAGTGATGATCGCACGAATTTTGCGAATTTCATTGAGCAAGCAATCGAATTAGACACGAGTTCCACGTAGGAACAATTTCAACCCTTCCACTGGCATCGCGACGTCACTTTTGTTTCGGCGCTGACTATTTATAAGTATTACTGTGTATTAAACATCGGAAGTTATTTAAATCGGTGATCTGGCTACGGCAGTCATTCCTAAGATAGGTCAAGTACCACTGACGTACAGCATTTCGCGACGACTACTAATCGCCCAAACTATTTAATCAAATATTCATTTTTAAAACTTTATTTCTACGAAAGACATCTGCAAACGTTCTTTGTCGCCATAAACGCGTAAAATGCTATACTAGCTCGTAGTACATTAGCCTGAATCACCAATTGAAATTCCACACCATTTCATCAGAAATATTTCGGGTAGGACGTCGCGTTCCTCGGAGCGAATGTAGGAGGTACTTGTTTATTGTTTGAGTTCAAGTAACTCCCTGTGGCCGGTTCTCGCTAGCAACAACACCACCGAGTTCCGTGAATTTCCGCGGAACACGTTTCCACGACACGAACAACTTCTCCAAAAAGCGGGGGCGCATTTTTTTTAGTTTTGTTTCGTTTCGTTTTGTTTCGCTACCTGAGAACTCTCAAGAACTTCCCACCATCGCTCGTTTTCACGCGTACTCCACTCGTAAATTCCTCCGCGTATCGCTGCAACGCGCCGGCCCATTTGTACGTACGCCCCCGTGCTCTAGCGTTCTTACCGACTTTTCTCAGACTACGTTTTTTTCGCACGTGTCCCATTCATCCCCAATCGTGGGATAACCGTTAAACGTTCTTTGAATTTACGCAACAATCCTCTCCGCGATTTCCTAAAACTTCTTTTCCCACGAAGTACAATTGTCTTCTCTTTAATCATTTAAGGATTTACCTATAAAATCATTCTTTCCTCTACTATATATAGTATTTATCGCATTATTTTAATTAAGAGCCTATGCACACCTGTCTTCATTCGTTTAATTGAAAAAACAAAGACAAACACCCGATCGCAGCATAACTGCGCGGCAAAAAGTCGTAACGTGCAAAGGGTAGGTCGTGCAATCGCAAAGCAAAAAACATCGACGTAATAAAGAAAGGCGCGGCAATAATTTCGCGCAGAATAATTAAAGACTGTGGTGACACTCACCTTGAACGTTTTGAAGAAGCTGCAAGGAGCCGAGCAAGAAGAGGATGATCGTCGAGGCCGCGTCCTTCCCCGTAATCCTTCCGAGTAAATCCCTGGCCATCCTGATGAAAGTCGGCAACTCGCGGAACTCGTTCGAAACAACGGAACTCAGTAATTCACGCACCACATTCGTCTTGCCACTGTACCGTGATAATATACACCCTCTACTCTCGACCTTCACTCGCGGCGGAACACACAACTCACGGGAGGGTTAACCGGCCGGCCAATAATTTCCGAACGACCGCAGCTACGCGATACGATTCAATATATCTTCCACTGTCCCGGCAACGTGGGTCGTCTGACAGTCCGCGGTATAATTCAGACCGGATCGAGTACAACCGCAGCCCAAGATTCTCCCACGGAGATCAAGCTTCCCGCGGAACATCCGATTCGCGATCACGTCGAATCCATCGGTGACAATCCGGTTGTCCGGCGTTGCGGATTTTCGGAGTTCGCGTGTCAACGGAGCGCGACGAGTGACACGAATCGGAGCACGTGCACGCTCGATAAACAGCGGGCTACTACGCAGCCAGCGGGCACGATAGAAGAACGAGAGAAACGACGGAGAGACGAAGACCGGTGGTTGCGAGGGTCCAGGGCGTCGACGAGCTGTCGGACGGAGGATCGTTGCAACGTTATCCTGAATCGAACGAGATCGCGCGCGGAACTGACGATCTCCTCTCCCGACGTGTGACAAGCTCGGTGAACGATCCGCGTGACGATCGACTCGCGTCGGTGACCGTCTTTCTCGTTATGACGAATTCGCGTGTTTCGGTGGTGGTATTCTCACGACGGCCGAGTAGAAACGGACAGAAGGGAGGAATAGACAGACGGAAAGAGACCCGCGACCGCGACTGATGTGCCGGGAGAACGCGCGGTGCCACTATGCGATACGTCCGATTCGTACGCTCACCCGAAACTAAGCGGTTTGCGGCGAACGGCGCGCACCTGTCGTTCCGCGGGTCGGTGCGCATGTCCCTACGAAGGAAGCCGACTGCCTGCCAGCTCGTCCGTCCGTCCGGGGTGTCGTGCAGGTGGGAGGAACGTGTGTCACACCGAACACTAAAAGTCTGTCTTAAAACAGCCCGGAACAATCCATCAGCGACTCATTGTATGCATACACAGACCGAATAAAGCCAAGCTCGGATTTTCCGTCTCGTTCGAAAATCCTGTATCTATCAATACATACAAGCGAGGATCGAACGCAAAAAATATATAGGAAGAAAATACGACAGCGTTTTTATAGTGCTCTAGAAAATCTGAATGTCATTTCTATCGACCGGTTAACCCTTCCGTGTTGTTCTATCAGAAACACTATTGGAAGGATTATTAATGTACCTCGTGTATAATTTTCCTAGATTCATGCATGACATAATCGAACTGATTTGCCATACATTCATCAAGTTTCACTTGAAATAAACGGTAATCGAAATTTTGGGAAGTGATGATCGCACGAATTTTGCGAATTTCATTGAGCAAGCAATCGAATTAGACACGAGTTCCACGTAGGAACAATTTCAACCCTTCCACTGGCATCGCGACGTCACTTTTGTTTCGGCGCTGACTATTTATAAGTATTACTGTGTATTAAACATCGGAAGTTATTTAAATCGGTGATCTGGCTACGGCAGTCATTCCTAAGATAGGTCAAGTACCACTGACGTACAGCATTTCGCGACGACTACTAATCGCCCAAACTATTTAATCAAATATTCATTTTTAAAACTTTATTTCTACGAAAGACATCTGCAAACGTTCTTTGTCGCCATAAACGCGTAAAATGCTATACTAGCTCGTAGTACATTAGCCTGAATCACCAATTGAAATTCCACACCATTTCATCAGAAATATTTCGGGTAGGACGTCGCGTTCCTCGGAGCGAATGTAGGAGGTACTTGTTTATTGTTTGAGTTCAAGTAACTCCCTGTGGCCGGTTCTCGCTAGCAACAACACCACCGAGTTCCGTGAATTTCCGCGGAACACGTTTCCACGACACGAACAACTTCTCCAAAAAGCGGGGGCGCATTTTTTTTAGTTTTGTTTCGTTTCGTTTTGTTTCGCTACCTGAGAACTCTCAAGAACTTCCCACCATCGCTCGTTTTCACGCGTACTCCACTCGTAAATTCCTCCGCGTATCGCTGCAACGCGCCGGCCCATTTGTACGTACGCCCCCGTGCTCTAGCGTTCTTACCGACTTTTCTCAGACTACGTTTTTTTCGCACGTGTCCCATTCATCCCCAATCGTGGGATAACCGTTAAACGTTCTTTGAATTTACGCAACAATCCTCTCCGCGATTTCCTAAAACTTCTTTTCCCACGAAGTACAATTGTCTTCTCTTTAATCATTTAAGGATTTACCTATAAAATCATTCTTTCCTCTACTATATATAGTATTTATCGCATTATTTTAATTAAGAGCCTATGCACACCTGTCTTCATTCGTTTAATTGAAAAAACAAAGACAAACACCCGATCGCAGCATAACTGCGCGGCAAAAAGTCGTAACGTGCAAAGGGTAGGTCGTGCAATCGCAAAGCAAAAAACATCGACGTAATAAAGAAAGGCGCGGCAATAATTTCGCGCAGAATAATTAAAGACTGTGGTGACACTCACCTTGAACGTTTTGAAGAAGCTGCAAGGAGCCGAGCAAGAAGAGGATGATCGTCGAGGCCGCGTCCTTCCCCGTAATCCTTCCGAGTAAATCCCTGGCCATCCTGATGAAAGTCGGCAACTCGCGGAACTCGTTCGAAACAACGGAACTCAGTAATTCACGCACCACATTCGTCTTGCCACTGTACCGTGATAATATACACCCTCTACTCTCGACCTTCACTCGCGGCGGAACACACAACTCACGGGAGGGTTAACCGGCCGGCCAATAATTTCCGAACGACCGCAGCTACGCGATACGATTCAATATATCTTCCACTGTCCCGGCAACGTGGGTCGTCTGACAGTCCGCGGTATAATTCAGACCGGATCGAGTACAACCGCAGCCCAAGATTCTCCCACGGAGATCAAGCTTCCCGCGGAACATCCGATTCGCGATCACGTCGAATCCATCGGTGACAATCCGGTTGTCCGGCGTTGCGGATTTTCGGAGTTCGCGTGTCAACGGAGCGCGACGAGTGACACGAATCGGAGCACGTGCACGCTCGATAAACAGCGGGCTACTACGCAGCCAGCGGGCACGATAGAAGAACGAGAGAAACGACGGAGAGACGAAGACCGGTGGTTGCGAGGGTCCAGGGCGTCGACGAGCTGTCGGACGGAGGATCGTTGCAACGTTATCCTGAATCGAACGAGATCGCGCGCGGAACTGACGATCTCCTCTCCCGACGTGTGACAAGCTCGGTGAACGATCCGCGTGACGATCGACTCGCGTCGGTGACCGTCTTTCTCGTTATGACGAATTCGCGTGTTTCGGTGGTGGTATTCTCACGACGGCCGAGTAGAAACGGACAGAAGGGAGGAATAGACAGACGGAAAGAGACCCGCGACCGCGACTGATGTGCCGGGAGAACGCGCGGTGCCACTATGCGATACGTCCGATTCGTACGCTCACCCGAAACTAAGCGGTTTGCGGCGAACGGCGCGCACCTGTCGTTCCGCGGGTCGGTGCGCATGTCCCTACGAAGGAAGCCGACTGCCTGCCAGCTCGTCCGTCCGTCCGGGGTGTCGTGCAGGTGGGAGGAACGTGTGTCACACCGAACACACACACACACGTACACGCGGTGTCCTGCGACGAGTCACGAAAAGTAGGGGGAATGTCCTCCGACTGTCCTCCGACGAAACTACCCTTGCCCTCGGACACTGTTGACCATGATTCGTATAAACTTCCGTTCGAAAAACAAATAGAATTTCGCTCGTTCATTTATTCATTATTCAATTTGAAATCCTCATTCACTATTCATTATTCCTTTACTCACCGTACGATTACACCCATTTGTTCGTTATTTGCTCAGTTATTACTCGAATGAAATCTCTCTTCTCATGTAATTGTCATCTACGTGGTTGACCACTGGACAGCGTTTTCTCGGTGCTCTTTTACTTTGTACTATGGAATAGATACAAAGTTCAACGAGCAAGTTGCACATCAAATTCATTGTAGCCTTGTATACTGCATGTTCCCATTGTACCTGTAAATTGATTGTCAGAGATTTTGGTATGAGCGGGTATAATTATATTTAAAGTCATTGCCAGACCCTTTTGTGGTTGAACATCTGTTTCCTTCGGCGTCACGCTATGTGGGTTCATCTTATGGGAACCCATGGAAGACTCCACCTTCTCCTCACGCCTCAATTCACCTGTGAACACTGGCACAAGAAATACTTTTTAAAGTCGTTGAAGGCTGAACATTTACAAAAAATCTCGATGTGTTTTTCGACATAATATTATTTAATTAAAAGCAAGAGTATTTGTCACAGAATTTCTTCTAAAAATATAATTCATTACATTATTAATTATCTCGGAGTGCTGTAGTAATTAATGCAGACTAAAAATGTAACATACATTATATGCTACGACTTCTACCTAGCAATTTGCAAATGAGACTGTTTGTTTAAAAATATATCTTTTGTTCGTTCGTTCTCTGCGAACCAAACTACGCGGTTTTCAAAGTATCTTCTCCATTATTTTTTCCTCTTATCGCCGATCTTGACTGTATCAGGGACGATTCTTTCGCTCGGATCCCATTCAACAAGAGGCAAAGTTATGGAATGTAAATCCCCGCGAAATGGAAAGAAAATATCAGCAACTGTGATTAACTACCACGGCTTTCAACTTGAAACGCGATCTAAGTTCCGTCTTCCTACTGTAAAATTGTTCCCCTTTCGATTAACGTTCCTCTCGTCCTTTCAAATATAATTTTCAATAAACAGAGACACGTCAATGAAACGTTTTCATTGTTAGAAAATAATAGTATCTGATAGAATGAAGAACAGCTTGCAGATACTTTTCAATCTTCGATGACATCAGCGTAATCAAAAGAGTCCACGGTACACAATTGAGCTTTACTTTCTAATTCGATTCTATTCCTCTGGCCAATACCAGAGAACCAACTTTCTTTTTGTTTCCCACCCTCAAACGCCTCGTGTCGAGAATTTCCTCTGTACCGTCGATAACGAGGCGATGAGAGTTTGTCATTGAAGATGGAAAAGTGTCGCGGATAAAAGGCCAAGGTTGGCTACTTGAAACGATCCCACTCAGCCTCTCATTATATGCTGCCACACGAATTTCCTGGTAACGAGTTCATCCAGCCAATATCGTTGACGAAATATTAGATCAAAGACCGAGTTCTTTCATGCATAATCATTGAGAAACAAATTCGAATACAATAAAGGCAGTGAACAATATTGCTAAAAATTTTAATCGTAGTATTAATTTGATAAGATTGAATGACTATTTGAAATACTATTTTATGTAATATAAAATTTCTAATCTGATCTCGTTTAGACTATTTAGAAAAAACATATATTCTATTCATATTCTGAATATATGATAAAAAATAGCACGTTATGTACTAACACAGGACAAAAAGCTTGAGCTGAAAGCAACCCGGAAAACAGATGGGAAAGAAACTCGACCATAAATAATCCAGGAAGAGAATTAATTCGCCATATTCAGTTCGTCCTAAAAATTGCTTAGAATTTTCCGCTATCCATTCGCCGATAACCGCCGGTATACACTCCGCGACAAAATGATAAGACACCCCTGAATATTCCGTATATTTCGAATTCAGTGATATTCTATGCAATTTGACGTGCTGTCAATGTTGAATTTGATGCATCTTTTAAAATTGCCGATCACTTATAACACGTGGACTAAAGCAAAATAATTACTCACAGCGTTACTCAAAATGAATCCGTGGACTATTAGTCAAATACTGACTTAAATATGAAACATGTCCTATCATTTTATCGGACTTGTTTTGAGACAAGCAGAATATAATTTCTGTAAGGCAACATAAATAATAGCCGAGTTTTTGTACGTTAAAAAGGGAGGACGTAGTATTTATAGATATAAAAAATGTTTCCAAATAGCACTGAATTTTTTAAGATATACGGAAAATTCAGGGGTGTCCTATCATTTTGCGTGGAGTGTAAGTAAGCTGGGCGCTGTTTACTATTTCGCTCCCCTCGAGCCCTAGCCTTTTTTTCTTTTTAAGCTATTGACCGAAACCGAATAATACCGCATTGCCTTCGGAAAGCCAATGTAAACAATCCGACCAATCTCACTAACTATGATAGAAGAACGTCGTTTTTTTCAAGAAGAAAGTTTATTTGGTACTGGCATTATTTCACCCGCGTTCGCCACAGGAATTAAACACAGGGGGATGAACAAAAGAATGAATAACATCTTCACGAAAGTTAATAGGAAATTAATGTTATCCTTGTGATTTCGACTGAAGAAGATATTGTACTGTATTATCCCATCTCTTCATATAAAATGAAGACTAACATGAATTACTGTTGCATTGTCTTAAGGATGTATTGGCTATACAGTCAATCCGAAAAGTTTATGCANCCATAATTTACACTCTCCGCATAAATTCGTTTGTTAAACTTCATTAAACAAAAATTTCCTACAAAGAGGTGGGTAATGATTTTTTTTATAAAAAGTTCTGATTAAAGGAAAGACAGAAATCAGTCTGAGGAACTTGTGCCAGTATTCCGCAACATCGCAGGGCAATGTAAATTTGAGTAAACTTTTATATCCAACAAGAAGCTTTTCATTATTAATCAAGTGAGACATAAAGCAAACTTACATTTGTACAAATTCTTGGAACCGAGCAAAGAAGTGATGTCACAAAGAATATAATTCCATACAAGTACTAACTTGGTTAACTCGCGTTACACGATGACAACGTTCTAATTAAAATCCTTATTAAATCATATCTCGTTTATATTCATTAATAGCAACGCACAGAGAAGAGTTAATAACGATGGAGAATGCTTCTGAGCAGAATGTAACACCTACTCGCGTAAGATTTAACAAGAGTCGTTTCTATCAATGCGGTATGCAGCGTCGATTTATCGTTGACGAGTTGTCGTCTTGAAAATTCGAAACGCGCGACGACAATTTCGAAAACCCACCGATGAACCAGACCGAGTAATTGCTACGATTTAATGAACGTACCCGGCTGGCTGCTCCGTCGGAGCTGCGAAGCGGTTTATATGTATGTAGGCACGTATTTGCCCATCGAATGCATACCGAGCGAGTCTCCCGAATCGAAGTTCCTACGATTCGTATCCACTTCGCTGTTTTTAAGTTGCAACTCCACGATGAACTTGCCTAGCTGTCAAGTGTCTACTAATTGGTGCAGCTGGCTGAAGTAGAAACGAAACACCCCGCGCACATTGAATTGTCGACGATCGTTATCGAACGGCTTGTTCCGTGCCTAACAGATCACTCGTTTTACAATGACGGACGATAAAGTTAATATGTAAGTAGTTATGAGATAAACGATTCTTCGATTATTCGTGATTTGCAGAAGAAGAACTTATTTAAAAGTTAGAAAAATATCTGATAAGAAGAGAAATATTATTTTTGCAAGTCGTTAAATATATTGAAACATCGATTCTTTAATTAAAACGATAATTGCAACATCGTCGGGCCTTCTTTTTACGCGACGACAAATTGTATAAGCCTATTTTTACCTATCTTCGTTATTCTCTCATCCTCTGCTCGCCGAGTGGCTTGATGAGCTCATCCGTTTACGATTATCGGGGATGAGAGGCCAATCGAAGAATCGTACTCGTCTGCAGAAAACGTAATCTGAATTGTTTGCTCTCCAATTTTCACCTGTCTCTTGTAATTGGATTTTTATTTCCCCGGCTACGGTTTCCACGGAACAGAGTCGTAAATATAGAATCTCCACTGGCCTTACGTTCCTTTTAATTACTATTAACGGAATGGTATTGTTGTTGGAACGCGCACGAAATTGATAATATTCTGCACGGTCCTTTGTAACGATATATTCATCGTAAATGAAATTTTGCAAAAAATGAAAATGAAATAGTATTACTTCAAAACAGAACTCTTTAGATATATCCATATTTTTCGAATTAAGTAAACTTGCAATACTGATAAATGTGGTATTAGATTAAATTTCATGATAGTAATTCACTGTTTTCTATTCAAATAATCAAATGCTCACTTTCACGTCTTTTGTACAGTGAATATAACAATAGTAACGAAATAATTCCTCGTATTTAATTATCAAGCAATCATACTTTATCAAAGCGGATTCCACGCGTGAATGGCTCCACTCGTTCGCAGAGGGAATAAAAGGAAATTAGCGATTTTTATCGGTACCGTCTGCAATAGGAACGGGAGTGTAGCGAAATCCAGGCCGCGGTTACAACCAGCGTTCGCACGGCAGACGTTGGCCTCCGCTTTTCCCCATTGTTATCCTTCGGAATCGTGGATCCCTCCTCGAGTGTGTCACTTCGTTTCACTGATTTTACCTTCGCCAGCTCAGCTGGCTCGTCTTTCGAATTCGAACTTAAATTACACGAATCGTTTTTAACATCAAGTCGAACATTTTTTTAATACAATAGACGTAATAAAAGTATAAATTGAAATTTGACATGAAATAATAAGAAAAATAGTGTTATCTCGAAATAATATATGCTACTGCATTTACAATTAAGTATACTTATAAATTTACGCAAACTGATACTATTTTTCTATCGAAACTGCTGACAATATAAAAATAATTCTTCAACGGAAAGATTGAAAAAGCGAATACTCTATCACCGGCTTGGGAAACCTTTTAATCGAACCTTCGTCATTACCATCGCTATTGTTGCATCGAATGAAACCCTGATTAAAAAAATTACCCGACTTTTTCTAACTCGACTGATCTATTTTACCAGAAATTTTCTCCGATTCATCCTTTTTTTGCTCTTCACTTGTTTCCATTCGTCCTCTCCACTTCACCACTCCTCTCTCCGGCTCTTTCCATCGGAATACATTTTGCTCTTGGAAGCCGGTACGGACCTCGAAAAAGTGACTCCGCTCTGACATCGTTTATCTTAAGCGTGCTTGACATTATTTGTCGAATATAGCCCGAGGCTTAACTCCTTTTCCAGCACATTCTACCCTTCAATAATTTTATTCTCCTATTTGATAGTTGGTTCATTTATATGTAATTATTAATTAATAGTATTAAGGGTAGCTATTGCCGTCTGGTAAAATAGTCCGATGGAAATATCTTTGATGATTTAAATATTCCCTCGGGATTAATACACGGTCACATGAACAAGATAATAATTATATTCGATGCAAGGCACGAATCAGTTAGAATTTTCGTTTCGTCGCATGAATAATATTATCATATTGCCGCGAATCTTGAATAACGTTTATCTTTACACACCATTTGCCTCCTTCATTAATTCTCATCCTTCCGGTTCGACTGTCGAGACAATTTGATATCCTATATTATACGACTCATTATGCCAGCGCAGTTGACGTTGTCGTGTAACAAGATATGGTCGATCGAATTTAGCCGGACTCTGGCGATTTTTATTCAACCGTTAGTGTAACCGTCGATGAATACCGCACTGATTACCATCCCAGTTCATTTCCTCGCCTATTTCTCTTAACGTTCCCATTCATTTACCATTTGCATGGAAAACGGATGTCACTTTTTATTTTTTCGCTCTCCCTTCTTTGTTTAATTTTTATCCAACAAGCGGTATGTGTACTAAAAAAAAATAACAAGCGAGGAAATAAAACAACCATAAACGATCTCTGTACAATTTATAAACATTGACTTCCGGAACGGCGCTACGACAAATATTGTGCATTTTTCACCTCGCACGACCGTAATAAAATACCTACCAATACGATTAAATTAATACTATTTGTACATAATAGTATATACATACACCTCAGGTTAAGTTAATAATGGGCAAACTATCAACACCGAATAATCGTGGGGACAACGAATGGGGCCCAATGGGGCTCAAAATACAGACGGCAACATTTGTAGCTGACAACTAGAAATACGACTTTATATATCTGAATTTTTCGCTAGGACGAAGA